CTTGCTTCCTACAGTTTGGATGAAGACAGTTTGTTCAAGAGAGATGGGTAGGTGTGAGTTTCTGTCTCTTCCCCCTTCTGAGAGTTATTTTTGCCAGTGCAAAATAGAAGATAATAACGCTCCCACTAAAAATGAGGTGAATGCTCCAGCGAACTTGAGTGGGTGGAAAGGACTTCACACAGGATGAAGCTGGGGACAAAGCTACCCCTGCCAAGACAAACAGCTGCAGAGATCTCTGGAAAGAAAAAGGGCCCTCCTGCACTGCTGTTCAAATAATTCAGCCACGTAGAGCTAGTTGGGGCTGAGTATCCATCATGTTATAATTAAAACCAATGGCTTTCACATGAATAGAGAAAAGGTGCATCATAAGTCATGCAAGAGGACTGGAGAACTGATATCATTAGGACAACAAACTGATAGTCCTTAGGACAATAAAGATACGGGGCCTGTGCAAATCAAAGCAGAAAGCTCCCACTTTCCTTCCTACATCTGTCTTTCATTTGCTTTGCCTCTATCTGCCTCTTGTTGATGTTTTCTCACATTATCTTGGTCCCTTTGTTCAAACTGCATTTCATTCCAAGAAGGCAGGGAGCTCCAGGTGTGAATGAGGGCTGTTAGCATGAACTCACTGGCGCAGTTATTATTGTTATCATTCCTCTGAAAATCAGCCCGATGGAGGTTTGGCTCCATGTAATTTTTTCTGCCGTTTTAACCGTATCCTTCTTAAATGTGAAAAACAGTATTAAGTGCAGTGCTTTGGATGATGGCACCCAAAGGTGCAACCTAACGAAGTGCTAGCTGGCTGTGGAGCAAGGTGTTTGGGATTGCAGGATTGGGACTGGCTGCTCAAATGAAGCAGGTGTTCAGGACTTAATGCAAAGCCCAGGGCACTCAGTGGAAGTCCCTTGGCTGGACCTTGGCTCAAGCTCTCACCTAAGCTTCACACATAGTGCGGTTTACCAGGTGTTAAATTTGGGAGAGGGCAGAGAGGTCTGTTGGGTATACGAGCTTTTACATAGGCACAGGTTAACTCAAAGACGTAGCTGTTGGGATTTTGACATTGTTTTTTTACATGTTCAAAACCATGGTGGCAATGCCAGGTGCCTGGCCTTGAGGTCTGTCCCGTCATCCTGAAGTCCTGGCACTTGAACCTCACACAGTGGTGCTCTCAAGATATTCTTGTGCTGACACAAAGAGAATCCTTAGGGTCACGAGGTGACATGGACTGGTGTAGGTGTAGAATGTGTGGCTGCTGGGCACCTTTTTATACCAGTCTGTGCATGTTTGCACTGCTTATACTATCTGCCTTTCCAAACCCGATACCTGAACCTCATTGAATGTACAGGGAGATATTAAAAGGATTTTCTTTGTAGTGGGACTGTATGTTAAAAAAACTGTATGTTAAAAAAAAACTAATACAGAATTTGTAATGCTCGATGAAAAGTTTAGGTGTTTTAAATTTTAAGATCCCAGTGAAATTAAGTAATCGCATTCCCACCATTCTGCTGTTTAGCAATCTAAGCACATACAATTTTTTCCATTGCTATTGTTTTTATTACTGGCTGCAGACTTGTAGGTGTCTAGTTATTTTTGTCTTTGGACATCTTCTGTGATTCTTGGAGTTCCTCTGACTCCACCTGCACATCCAACTGGGCCCTGATGTTTTAGCATATTTCTCAGTGGTCCCCCCTGCTCCATTTGAGCCCCTGGAGATGCTATGGAGCTCCTTTGTGTGGCTGTGTTAGATATGCTCATCTTTGGGTTGAGTCTGGAGCTAGAGAAACAGGCTGCCATAACTTTAAGCCAGACTCCAGCTTGGTACAACATATTCAGGTGCATGAATCAACCACGAATCAGGTGCAGTAGGAACAGCCAGGCCCTGATTCAGTGGTGATTTAAGTGCACAAAGCAATTATGTGTTTTCCTTTAGATGTGCTGCCTCAAATGCGTTTGCCTGTAAGTCACACCGTAGCCTCTTTTCTGAAATGATGATGGTTAAGTGATCATAGTGTGCTGGAACTGCCCCTCGGCTAGCGATTTTTGAAATGGCTCACATGGGTTTGGAGGTCTCAAATCTAGTAATTGCTAGGAGTTTCATGAGAATAGGCAGCAGGCGATGGATAACAGGGAAACTGTATTAGTACCTCTGCTCAGGGAAAGGTAATAAGTTCAATAATTAACAAATACTGGCAAATCTGCAGTGGGGTGAAGGGGAGGGATGTGCTAAAAAAACCACCCCACTCGTGTGCTCACAGCACAACATGCTTAAAAAAAAAAAAAAGATACTTGCCAAAAGAGAAAGACACACAGGCATTTTATGCTTGAGTTCTCTGCTAGAAAAAGATACCCTCCTGTAAAAAGCGAAAGGTCTCCTGGGTATTTTTCCCTCATTTAAATGTTCATCAGGAAGAGAGGAGAAAAAGTCCTCTGCTTTTTTAATTTTAAGCCCAAACTGCTTAAAATTAAAATATATGAATAAATAAATAAGCAAACAAATATGGCAGCAGTGGTTGGGTACTTCTGCACTGAGCTGCTCTGCAGAAGCCATCCATCCTTTGCAAATTTGGGTGCAGGACAGTGGTGCAAACCTCTGCTCAGGGACATCTGCCTGTGGTCACAAGTCCCTGGGGATCCCTGGCCTCATTCTACAGTTTTCAGGCTGAGAAAAGGTGTTATATACATTACAAGTACAGCTGGGGGTGGGGGGTCTGCACTCTCAGTGCAGTACTAGAAGGTCACAGGCTGAAACAATTGGAAACCACCGAGCGGATTGAAACATGGAGAGCATGCAGAGGCTTCATCTAGAGCTCAATGCTCCTTCCAACTGGCTCAGTGTGGGGAGAGCTTGTGGGTGGCACTTGAGTGGTTTGGGAACTGAGAAGCACTGATCCAAAAAGGAGATAGGCTGCTGGACGGCAGCAGGGATACTAAGCCATTCCACAAGAAACCCAATCTTCTGCCCTGAATGTTTCTCATCGCAGCTTCCTCTCTTTCCGGTGCAAATCTATAAACAGGAAAATCTCAAGTTAGAGTGAAAAGCTGCAATTACAGCTTAGGAGTACAGAGAGAGGTCAAGGGAAGGAGAAGCTTAAGCAAACGGCACTACGGAGCCAGTATCCGTCTTTGCTGGCTGAAGGTTTATATGGTGTTGGGACCTGTGGCCAAACAGGACCCTCAAGAGAAAAGGACGTGGCAGACTAGGACAGGACAGAGCCAGCTGGCAACTCAAGATTGGGCAGGGCAGGGAGCATGGGGATAGGGCTAAGATCATGGCTGGGCCACATGGACCCACCAATCTGGCTGCGAGTCCAAAGATAGTGGTTGTAAGCAGCTTTGACTGTCTGGTTGGTATTTCAATAGATGGACTCTTTTTAAACTATGTTTTTAGAGAAATTCTCCTCTTGTGTTGCAACAGCAATTCCTTCCTGTGTCTTGGTTAGCTCAGTTCAGAACAGCTCAAGTGTTTGTACTGCCCACTTTATTTCCTACGGTGGGTATTTCTAGAGCAGCTTCGCTGGTGGAGTCCTCTCCAAATAGTGTGTTAAAGAGTGAATGATTTAGCACATAATTAAGAAGCAAACAATGATGCTGTGATCAGCAAGAAGTCTGCAATGTCAAGGCAAGAATTGGAGGCAAGAAAGAGGAAGATGCCAAGAAAAATGAGTAAATCTCTCTGTCTTTGTATCTTGGTGTGGAGAGGTAGCTTCTGCTCCATCCCCGACGGAGACACAGTTCCAGAGTTATTGCCAGCAGCAACAACAGTGGTTCAAAAGACACCAACTGCTTGCACTGGAGAAAGCGCTTCCCGCTACTGCCAGGAGTGAACACAGATGCTTCATCTGGGCTTTTCCACACACTCCAGCTAAGTTGGAGCACACGGGCCAGCTGCCCCTTGCCCCACGCGAGAGCTGACTTTGTGCTTCCCCGGGGCCGTGCTTGAGAACTAACAGCAGTGACAGTAACTAATGTTGCTGGTTTCAATGTTGTTTTACAACCCTGAGTATCCAGGCTAATGGATTTAGTAGTGAGGGAAGGGGATCGTTAAAGAGAAAGAGCTCGGTTCTGCTTTCACTCAGGCTGACAGAAGCCCAGCGGCGCTGCAGAAAATAACATCATCCTGCAGAGGCTGTCGGGGTGTTTTCTTGCCTGTTCCTCGCTGCCCAGGAAGGGGAAATGAAGCAGCTTGTGGCACAGTGAGGGCTACTGGTGTTAAACCTTCCTTGGTTGGTGACACCGCTCGCCTTAGTCCTGTGAAGCACTTTCTGGCTGTCCACACCCTCGTCCTGCTCCATCCATCCGTCCGTCCATCCATCCATCCGTGTCTGCTCCAAAGATGGTACGTACCACCGTGAGCATATGTAAGAATGAAACACCCCAAACTTCTCCCTCTGCCTCAGTCTCATCCATATACCAGTTTTCCTCCCAAATTCAGGACAATGTCCTTTAATATCCCTCTTTCTACATCCCCCCCATAACTCTTCTGCACCCAAAAAATGCCTTTGTGGAGTTTTTTTGGTGCTTTCCCACTGAGCATTTCAAATGGTAGAGGCAAGCTCAGTTCCCAGGTCCTGTATCTGCCTTTCAGAGCCTTTCCCTCAAGCCCCACTCAAAACATGCCATGAGATCAACCAAGTGGCTTCTCTCCAGTGACACACATCAGAGACCAAGGCTGCTCCAGACTGACTCATAATGTGTCAGGTCCAGCAATGTCTCACTGATAACAAAGATACACAGACAGGTTCTCCAAATCTCCACAGGAATGAACTTGACAAAACCACATCATTTTATGAGGAACATTCCCCAGAGTACGGTTTCTTCCATCCCATGTCTTGGGCAAAAGGAAAGCAAAACTCCACAAATGGAATGTTTCTCTTTTTCAGTGATTCCCTACCTTTTAGCGCAAAGGAAAGAACCTAGACATACAAGATTCTTCTGCTATGGATTTATAATAACATTTTATTAATATATTATGCTACAAAAATATTTTGACAAAATAATATTAGAAAGCATCTTTTTATTACACTCTTCAAAACGGTTCACAAAAGCAGGAGGCGGAACAGGAAAAAATATTTGAAATACATTTGAATTGAAAACTGACAAACATGCAATTCAAAATTCAGTGTGAGTGTGAAGCTGCAGGATGGTTAATCATTCCTGTAGACGAAAAGTACTGACTACTTATTGGAAAGACCTCTCTACCTTTAGCTAGGTTAAGGTGCCTCCTGAAAAATGTAGTCACAGGAAAGGCTGCAGTTGGGCTGGGACAAAACACACGCGCACAACACGCATACATGCACACACACACACGTACACCCTATGCTCTCAAAATTAGGCAATTATCTTTCTGCTTCACTTAAGCTGAAACACGCTTAAATTGAAGCTGAACTCTAGCACACTCCATGGAACATTGATCACTTCAGAGATATGACAAGCCCATATGCTTTTTGGATATAATATAGTAATATCTTATGGTACTAAGCAAAGTTTGGAATGATAACATTTATGCTGAGATAATAACTTTGGCACTTTGGTTTCTCTAACATAAATATATGATGGGAAATTCCTCCGTAGCAGTGGTATATGGTAATGACTGGGTCACATCATTTGACTAATCAATGCACTAAACATAGATTAAGTTCTCCCTCTTTCCATCTCTCTCCCTCTCCTCAACTGTATATTGAAGAACTTAGATAAATATACAACTCTGTACCTTGGGTGTTCCTAAATTACAGTGGAGCTTGGAGGAATGGAAAGGGAAGTTCAACAAAGCAGATTTTTGACACCTGTATAAAGCATAGTTATCATAAATCATGTTCATCATTTATTGCCAGAAGAGGTATTGCATTATTCAACATCCCAAGGGATTGCAGAGAAACTACATCAGTCATAAAATATAAAATACTTTCTGTCCCAGCTTACTAACTGGTTCTCCAAGTGGCAATGCATGTTAATATAGCATCCACAGTTAAACACAGGCAAGAAAAGCATTAAAACAATGAAAAAATGGAAGTTAAGTCTGTTGCTGGTGGTATTTTCATTCCACCAGGGCAAGAGCTTGGCGGATAATTAGCATTTGTTTATAATGTTACAGTTATAGATAATGTGCATTGTATTGATGTGAGTTGTAGCTGTGTTGAAAAGATGAATCTTATGAACATTCAGCTTTGGACTCATCCAAAATCATGTCCTTGATTGCTAGACACTATGTGACTCTCTTGATTGTGTTTCTCAGAGGTAAACAGTATCACCGGTGTTTGCTATTTCATACAGTGGACACGGATATTTTTGTTAAATATCCTGCTCCTGGAATCTTGTGATTATATGGGAATCTGAGCTTTCCTTCAGAAAAAAAAAAACAGTCGGCTTCTATTTTCCTGAGAAACCCACAGAGAAAACTGAAGTCCCATGAAACTGATAGTCAGTGTTATTTCCAGAGCACGTATCAAACTTGATGCACACTTTTTAAACTCGTGGTGAATATAATAATGACCCATTGCAATGGATGTGCATAGATCTGTGCTAACTAGTATTAGTGTATTTTAATTAATACTGGGCTGGTGTAGCTGATTAATAAATAATCCATTTTATCTATCACAGTGAGGGTCTCATTTTTCAGTATTGCTATGCTCACATGCCACGGATTGAAAAAAGTTACCTTAAGTTAGACCGTAGGGTAAGACAATAGAGGAAAATAAATGTTTGGTTAGAGAACTGTGCTGAAACCACTCATGTGGGGCTTCTGAGAGAGGATCTGCAGGAAGCTACTTCATCTTCTATTTATTCTAACTCGTGTCTTCTCCCCTAACCAGAGGAAACTCAGATGACCAGGTGAGCCAGATGTGGCAGAAGTCAAGCGTGTTGACCCCAAAGCCAGGAAACACCTTGTGCTGCAGGATGACAAACGTGGAGCACCAGGGCAAGGGATATGAGGTGAGCTCCACTAACATTCATTCATTTCACAGGAATTATGGACAAAATGCCAGGAAATGCAAATAAGTCAAAGCATACCTTGATATGCAAGCTATTTACATACCGTGATATTCAAATATACCGTGATATCTGAGCTAATGAATATTGAATATTACCGTCCAGCGGAGGAGTGTCTCAGGAAAAAAACTCATCTGTGCCAAACGGGGTGACTATTCTCTGCAGTATAATAGTGCTGTGAGTGTTGTGATACCTGTGTGCTCCTCATATTCAAAAAAGCCCCAGAGGCTTATGCAGAAAGCCATAGGTTGGGAAACTGTAATTTCTAGTCTTGGTCCCATTGGTGTTTTTCCTTACAGTCTTGTTTCTGTTTTTCTCTCTCCCTTATCTTTATGTGGTCTTGTCTATTTACACTGTAAGTTTTCCAACACCTGGAATTATTTCTGGGATGGTACCACAGAGTAATTTCTGGATTCGATCAGATTGCAATAAATAAAATCCAATGGGTTTTAGTTTGTTGGCTGTTCACTTCTACTATGTAACTTATCATCACCCTTAAGATTTGCCTACCTTATTTCCATTCCATTTTTGTAAATAAGACATTATAATTCAGTTCTGATCTCTGTCTTGAATGCAGCAGGAGAGCCAATCATCTTTTAAATGCATTAAGGTTGAATTTGAAGATCTGTTAAGCCATTATATTCAAATGAAGGCATTTCTAGGGTAACAACTCAAATAAAATGGAAATGAAAGTTCTCAAAGTATGTTTCCAATATCCAGCCCCGTGCAATAAATATTATGCAAGGTGAATGGCTTCTGTCCAAAACTAACATCTCCCATCTTCTGCTAGCCAAAATACACAATATAAAAGTATGCACAGGGCGTGCTTGAAGCCTACATTTGGGGCAAAGCTCAAAGTTTTCCATTCAGCGTTATCAACTGTTGTGCTTGAAAAAAATAAGGGTAGCTTATAGCACTGTCTACTGTACGCACTTAGATGGACTACAAATCTACGCAACCTTCTGTCAAAAACAGAGCAAAGGCTGGAGGTCACAGTGAGCAGTAAGTCAAAAAGAAGTTATCTGTATTCTCCCTGGCCTTTGTAAAGCGATGGGTTGGGATGCATGATGGAAAAAAACTCAGTATTTCAGCAGGGTTTTGAATAAAACTATGTGCCTTTTGCAGTCTAATTATTTCCTAACTTGCTTTCCTGAATTAACTGGTACAAGGACAAACAAACAGTGGCTCCTAAACCCTCTCTTACTACAGAGACTTTAAGATTGCATGGAATCACCTCTCCAGTCCTGGTGACCATGCTGTAGGGCTGCTGGGAAAGTGACATGACTGTTTTCAGACAGACTTTTATCAGTATTATTATTATAATTGTTATAATCTGATAATTTTTTTTTTCAGGGTGAAAAAACACTGTTTTTTGGTAAGTAAAAATTTGCATTGTATTTTTTTGGGTTCTTTTTAAACTAAGATGGTTTCATCACATGTTTTGGATTCTTGGCTTGCAGATGACTTAGAAAGAAAACCACTATTTCAACCAATATTAATTTTCTCATTGAAATTCAGAGGGATTTTTCACCATATCTTGTTGGGGGGAAAAAATCAACATGGCTTATTAAATGTAATAGTTTTTAAGCTGGACTTGTTTTTCCCCATAGATCTTGTTCATCGCATTCATGTAAAGTAGCTGTTTGGATAGGGAGTAAGTTTTTCAGTAAGTGTAAGGTGTCATAATGTCTCCATCTAAGTCAACAGAAGTTCCCTAATCTACAAATGGAGAAACATCTCCATGACGCAGGTTTTAATTTGGCTCCTGTGGTACTGAAGACATTTTGGACAAGCCATAATTCAGTATGGAAATACCAGCTCTAAGCATCACATTAGCAAGACGTAAATAATTTGTAGATGTTTTTTTGCCCTCCAGGTTGTCCATTTGCATTAATACAACTGGTACAAAGAAGTTCTATAGGTTAACAGGATACTACATCTTTATACCCTATAGACAGACCAAGTTCTGTTCTCGTTTACTCTGGGAAAGGTTGTAGGCTTGTGTTTATATAACATGAGGGAGAGAAGAAAATAATTCCAGTGGGATTATTCCAGACTTTAAAAGACATTTTTTATTAAGAAAAAGCTGTCTTGATTTGCGTTAGCTAATGAATTAATCCCAGGGCAAAGAGGGAAATTGGTAATTTCCAAAGAAGTTAAATAGTTTAGTTAAAGACAACATGGGAACTTAGAGAGTTATCTTGACTAATGACTTACTAAGTCATGTAAAAATAACCGGGATTTTAGGTTGTAGCAGCTAACTTGAGTTAAAAATGCACCTATTTCTCTAATGGACATAGGCCACAGAAAGCAGGATCTGCTTTATTCAGTGTAAGCTATGCTAATGAGATATAAAAATGTAAAATAAAGAAGTTCAACAGAAATGTACTTATTGGACAGTTACTGTAAAAAGTAATAGTTAAAGAAACAAAGAAGCCATTCATTTGGTGTCAGTTCAGACATTTGCAGAGTTGTCAGTTAGAAAACAAATATAGAAAATATTAATTTATCTGTTTCACCATCGCTACTGATTAATAGGTATGTTATTAACATATACAACAAGAAAAATAAGTTTACCAGTCGAATAAATACATTTTTTCTTTTTCTTTTTCTTTTTTTTCTGTATATGAACATGTATATTTTACAAAACCCCATAGCACTATGGGAAATAAAGATCCTTCTACAAAAAGAAGATGTAAGTCAGTGTTACAATAAAGCTTTAGAGTTTCAAAATGCATCTGGGCAAAGAGACAAAATCAGCTAGAAGGCACTACTGATTCATTGAAAAGGTCCAGCTTGTAACTGTTGTTGTCTTAACCTCCAATTCATTCATAAATTATCTCTCTTCTCTACTCCGAGGGATTGCACAAAATACTAATGTGGTCAGGAAGGCTGCAGTAGATTCAGAAGAAAAGAAGCTATGGCCACGCAGAGAGGAGAAGTTATTGATGGCCATAAAATGCTGGCTGAGGCTGAGCTTGTAGGCTGAGGCTGGGATGGGAGGTCTGAACGGGGTCTCTGATCCAGCCGGTTTGAAATCCAAATGGGAGGTTTGACTGTGATGTAGCCATTGGTTATCATGATATAGGAAGGCAATGTGGTGGTGCTAAAACAAAACACAAGAGAAAGAAATTAAACAGGAGGACCCTTATCTCTGTGTTGTGAGGTGTCATTCTACATGGTGGCAACAACGACGACAATCACAATTATTACTACTGTTTACATGCATTAGACGTGCAGGGAGAGTCCCAGGGGCTGGTAAATGTGATGATCTGGAAACAGCTCTGATTCAGCCTGTCCCTCAGCTTCTGGCTGCTGGTAGAATATAGCCAAAGGAGGGATTGCTCTTGATATATCTAACTACTTGTACTCCTCTTATCAAGCATCCATTACTGGCCAGCGTCAGAGACCATGACAGACGTATCTTTGCGCTGATCCAGGACGGTCATAACATTCTTGTGTTCTTAGGTACCTTCCTGCCATCAAAGGTCTCAAAATTTCTTATGTCTCAGAGGCATGTCTTACTCACCATGGAATGGCTACTAACTTCCAGAGGGGCCACAAGACCTGTTCCACAAAGCATAAAGAATTTCTCAGGATCCCCTCACACAACTGATAACCTTGAGCACAGCAGACCAAGCAGCTTTGCTCTTTTCCTGGCTTTATGCCATTTGGGCTCAAATCACAATTCCAAAACCAGAGTCACTGTGAAGTTTCCCTGTCCCCGTATCCACCTCAACAGCGGTGTGATTGCTTATTGATTGTGGCTTGAGTTAGTACTTTGATTTGAATTCACAGCTTGGAATTCAGCACGATTCCCATGATAATGAAGGTCAAAAAGGTCCATTTACAATTGATTTGGAAGTTTTAACTTGTAATCTCCATTTCATAAAATGCTTCCATTGCATCCATTATTGGATGTTCCATAATCCACCACTTGTCACAGAGCAGCACAAGCAAGTGTGCAAACTGAGCAAGATGGATTCTGGACTCAAAACCAAGGCATTCTGCTGCTGTGCAGCGAGGAGGCACAAGACAAGTTCCCCTGAAAACAAGATGTGACACTAATACCTCCAGATTCACTGTGTTACTTTAAAAATCTTCCATAAAGGGGATTTGGAGGTACTGAAAATGTCGGTCAAATATTTTTTTAATGGGGCAAGAAGGTATGCAGTCCTATAAATAATTAGATACAGTATCTGAGATCTGACCTTGGAAGAAAAAGGCTGCTTCTTGCATAATATCAGATAAAAGGAACAATACCTTGCTCCAGATTCTTGCACAGAAATATAATTTAGATATACTGAAGGCTTTTGTCTTTTTCTGCCTAAGCAGTAACAAGATAACTTTTAGCTCAGATGCTTTAAATGTGTTGAGTCAATCACAAACTCTGAGATCAGAGTCCACCCAGAAGAGGGCACCAGTAAACACACACGTGGATCAACATCAAACCCAATAGACAATCACTGCCCATGATACTTCACCTGGGTTTTGGGGTAATTAATTTCATTCCTTCCCTCATCCTTTATACTGTCACCACATCTTCTGGGTGGGATAGTTGTTCTGTAGCTAGAAGTGATACTTCAGTAACTTGCAACGAATTAGAATGAAAGGAAAAGGCAGCCTAGAATTACAGACATGGGAATTCCTTCGTAGGAGCAGATAATCCATCTAACCTGTGCTAGGTCTTTGACAGTGAGAAGCGGTGCTCATTCCAGAGGAAAAAACTGCTGTAAATAGAAAATTCTGAAATCAAGCCTTGCTGGAGAAAGCTCTTATCTAAATTCCCATAGTGAGTGGTTGGTTTATGTCTTGAGCTGACGATACAAGACACATAGTTTTAGTGCTTCTGCTATAATATTGCATCAAAACCACTGTAGTCACTAAATAGAAAAGGTTGATCTGGGATAAATTAATACCACCTTTTCACTTTTTTCCATCTTTTTTTGAGTGATTTATTTTGCGCTGACAAGAACGATGCCAGACTAGGCACTGTCTATCCAAGCTCCTGTAATATATGTAACATCAAGGATTAATGGCCTTCCCACAGTGAATACAAAGCATCTTTAAAGCACACATACTTCTGACAAAACTAGGTACTACACACTCAGAGCAATTCAACAGAAACGCAGTTGTGCTCCAACTTCTGATCCAGATCTCATTTATCCTGGTGAGTGACACTGTGGTGCACAGATCTGACAACACTGACAGTGGGATCACAATTTTGGGGTTTTTCTCCTGTAGCAGTTTTCCCTAAGGTAAGCAAGGGTATGGGTTTGCACTCATCTTTTGGTTACTGTTTGTCACTTTACAGAATTAAAAAATTTAGCCCTAAGTTAAATTTTAAACTGCAAGGAGGGTTGGGTTTACAATTTAAATTTAAAAAACATGGCCCAAATGCCATTTAGACTTGCCGTTTGGGTGTATCCTGTTCCTGAGTCATTGTATGGGCTTGATCCTCCAGTGAGGCTAAAATGTGCCTTGCGCAAACTGTCTTTCTGCACCTCAGGGATGTATTGTCTGAGACGTCTGATGGGGGACACAGGCTGGCCAGGGAACCCGTAAAAGCATCATGAGCCCATTCATCAGCCAATTACCTCCAAGGGATTCCTAGAGCAGCCTTAAATCAACGTTTTACATTTCTTTATGATGTTTCCATTTTCTAGTCAACTGCCAGAAATGTTTTGTTGGTTTTTTGAGAATTTTTTTCTCCCCTGAAAACAGGCATTTTTTTCGGGGGGGGAGGACATGGGAAACCCTATGGTTTACTTAAAATCCCAGGGTTTCCTGTCAAAGGACCTGGGAATTTTTTACTACTCTTCTCCTCAGTCAGTGAGGTCATTTTCTGGTTTCAAGACATTAGATTTCTATAAAGGCTTCCTTGTTAAGATAAATACTGTTAGGTGGGCTTGTTCATTTGAGAAAAAACAATCTTAAGTGCTTTACAAGAGAAGAATAGTGCTCTTCCATTAATGTGTACAAAGCATGATAATAGCAAATGAATCACAGTTTATCCATGCAAGACATTTCCATAAATGCAACTTTACTTCTTGCATCCTAGCCAACTACCAAGGTGGTTTAGAGATATTTAAAGAGCATGATCCCTTTTACCAAATGCTACAAAACTCTTTGTAAAACCTCCAGGTTTGTAATTATAGCAGATGAGGAGAGAAACCTCTCCAGAAGGTAGCTGACCTCATTCCAGCACAGGTCTGTAGGAGGTACTTACTCTTGCTCAGGATCTTTCTCTTCCTAGGAGTTACAGAGGGGCCCCAGACAGTCAGGTTAGATTACAACCTAATCTTAGAGGTGGCCCTGGTGCCAGCAGATGACTCCTCCAAACTCCCTCTGAGCACATTCACACATGCACGTAGGGTCTCACTGACCCTCAGACCTTCCCTAAGGATGAAACCAGCAGCCCAGTCCCCTGAACTCAACTGGAAACTTTCCATTGTCCTCAGGGAGGTTTTGATCATTCCTAAAATTAACATAAAGAATAATAAAAATGAATCACAGATCCAAGGGATAATAATCTAAATTATTATCACGCCTTCTCTTGCCAGCCCAGGATATTCTGTCCTTTGTGTCTGATAAAAATATCTTTAATAAAACATTCCACATGATATGTGGTGAACAGACAACCACTGGCTCCACTGTTCATACCTCTATTTTTTTGCTTCTGTGTATGGGATTGTTTTAAAAAATTTGGAAGAATCCAGGTATCTTTTAGCCAAACGACCTGCGGTATCATATTCATGAGCTTGTACTTTTGATCAGATAATAGGGCAGTTTTTCAAATCAGTGCATTAGTCATACATTGTCTTACCATCATTAGAACGTGTAAAACTTTCCCAAAACAAATGGGGCCCCAGGCAGAGGCTTTGTGAACAGACCCTACTGAATCTAAATATATGATTCAAGTCCTCTGCGCTGGGGGCATGAGGTGGAGCTGGAGCACCATGATGGTTTGGGAGCATTCTAAAACTGAAAAATAAAACAAACATACAGGCAAGCCTTTGGGGAGTTTCTATTCTGGTTTAGCTTGCAAGGACTTTGCAAGGAACTCTCAAACTAATTTTTTTGTGGTTTGGTTTATCCATATAAGCAGGGCTCATCTGACACCACAGCGCAATCACGGAAGACAGGACCAGGAGGGACTTTCTGGCCCATCTGTCCCAAAGACAGGAACAAGATCTAAACCCTTCCTGACATTTATGTCTAATCCAATCTCAAAAAAACACCCCTAGATTGATAGCAATTCCAGAGTCTCTGCAGAACATCTATTCCAGTATTTCTCCATTCCTGAAGTTCAGAATTACTGCCTAATGTTTCACCAAATCTCCCTTGCTACATCACAAGTTCGTGACTTCTCCTTTCCCCGTGGACAGGTTTATTCCTTTCCTCTTCTCAACAGCTTTTCACATGTTTTGAAGATTTAACCATGTGTCACCTCAGCTTTCCTTCATTTAAACAAATGATCCCCTCCACCTTTCTCTGCAAGTCCCGAGGTGCTCTCCTTACATCCTTCCTTCTCTTCTCCTCTGTCCCTGCCTTCTTGATCTGTGTCTCCTCTGGAGTGAGATGCCCCAGACTAGAAACGGTAGGTCTAGCTGATACATTGCCAGACTTATTCTTTGTGTATGTACCACTGCTTCCTAATTATCAAAGCAAAAAAAAGTGCACGAAAAATAAACAGTCTCTAGCAAGATGGTCTTTTCACTACTTTTTTCCCCTCAAAGTCTAACTGCCTTTGTGGGCCCAGTAACCGTTCTGAAGCTCACGGAAAACTGATGATGCTCTGAGGGGGTGAGGACCGACTGAATTATAGTGATATTTCTATGCATTTTTAATCTGCTGCCATGCCTCAGTCCCAAGACAGTTTCTGTTCAGGGCGGAGGGAGTGACCCTTTTAAGCATAACTTACAAAGTGTTTGGGGATTTTTCTGGATCAAAGGAGCTATATAAACACATGACAACTATCTTTAATAAATGTAAACAAATGTGGACTCAGACAGCCTTTCTTACAATAGCATCTGATGAAAGAAGCTTATCAAGACAATGTGCCAGCATAGACTGAACGCTGAAAAAATGCATATTTCAATTGAG